GTGTTAGTTTTTATTTGGGAGCTAGTTACAGCTCCACAGCAGCCACTTTGGCCTGTGTAAATTCAAGTTCAAGAAGTTTTATTGTCAGTGCTTCATATGTGCCGAACATACAGAGAATTGAAATTGCGTTACTCTCCTTCCCAATTACAGCAATAAACAAGTAATCAGCTAAAATGGCACAATCCAATGACATTTTAAATAATCAAAACAGTGAAACTAAATGTATAATACAGCAAGAACACAGATATGGATGAATGTGGGACATTGACACAAAAATAATAGGTATGGAGGGGTACTCAGTAGTGCAAAAATAGAGATCTTTATACAAGAAAGAGGTGAATAATACAACTTTAGTGAAACAGAAGCTTAATGCTGATAAAAGTTAATGGTGCATATGAGTGTAAAGGTGATGTGTTCATACAATTCTTGGAGCTCACAGTTGAGGGAGGGGGTGGGGGGTACGGTGGTAGTACGTTTTGTGCAAAAGTCACGCACTTGCAAAATGTCCAGTACTGTATGAAATGGAGCAGGGTTAGTGTGCTTGAGTGGAGTGAGCCGGGGGCAGGGTGGGCAGTGTGGGCAGGGTGGGCAGGGTTGAGCATCCTTACAGCCTGATGGGTGGAGCTGTCCCTCAGTCTACTGGTCCTGGTCCAGAGACTCTGCGGTGTCCTCCCTGATGGCAGCAGGCTGAAGACGCTGTGCAGTGGGTGGGTAGCATCTCTCTCCAGGCGGGGGGCTTTCTGTGTGAGGCGGGTTCTGTACAAGTCCTGAAGGGAGGGGAGGGGGGTGCCAACAGTCTTCTCAGCTGCTCTTACAATGCGCTGGAGGGTCCTACACCAYGATACACACAAAGCCTATAACAAAAAAAGTTTTGAAACTCACTAAAACTGAAAACACCTGCYGTCATGAGAAGTGGTCCTGGCATGTTTGTCTCCACTGGATCTTTCTGGTTGGATGGKACCATCCCCAAAACAAGGACTTTAGCCTGTTAGCTTCAAATGTTGTGGTGGCGATGTCCACCTTCTGATACATGGTGTGTTCCAGCTCCTCGCCACAACTTCAAAGCATTCYTCATTTTCCTCATCTTCTTGTGTCTTTCTAACTTCAACTGCAAACTCAGGATGTTTMCAAAGTAACGTGGTCATTATCATCAAATTATTCTGCTTCATCTTGTTCTGCTTCAGAATCAGAAGTGACATCGGCGTCTGCCTTGAAGAAAATGTTACTGCCAGAGACGAGCTGTTGCTAAAGGTCCTGTCACACTGATGTTTTAGACAACTTATGTCACTTTTGTCCAACACATTGCTGTAAGTTGTACAAGTTAGGTGTAAGTTGTGAACATGTTGTCAGAATGACAATAATTTTGGACATGCTCA